ATGCAGCTACATTCGAGCCGCTTAGAGTTCGCAGATGAGCCCGAAATAAATCCCGAGACCATCCTACATTTATCTTCTAGAAAGAGGACCTAAATCCACACTGACAAAACACATTTTAGTAGAAAATTTCATGATCATCGAAAATGGTGTCTATCGCCAATTCTTCTACAATAATAAGATATTATCAGAGCAAATTTATTATGTATAATTTGGCAATTACGAATATCATTGTCGAAGCATACGCTCATTCCCACCGATAACTCCTAAACTGTCTTACAATTTTTGGACACATGTTTTTATATCTCTTCTCTAGAGGAATCGGATTTACTCAATCAGTAATTTTGTTGAAAATACAAAACGGGGAAGGTTACAGTACTGTCCAACTGCATTAAACCTGTAGTATTTTTTGTATTGAAAAGAATACAATATCGAAGGAAACGGTTTTTATAAGTTTTTATAACACCTGTCAAAAGACGTCATTTTTCAACAGACTGTGTGCAAAGTGACATTTTACGGATGCTGCGCGTGTGCAAAATTCAGCTCCTCGCGCATTTTTTTCACCACATTGTGATGAAAAATAGGATTCGATCCTCGCCGGCAGATGTTTTTTGCACTTGTAAGATCAGAAATATTTTCCTGCGTGGATCGAACTCTATTTATCATCACAATGTGTGGGAAGTAGAGTTTTGCGCACCTCGAGCGTTCTGAAAATATCACTTTACACACAGTGTGTCGAAAAATAGTACATATACGTGCGTAAAAGTGTTGCTCTACTCATTAGTATTTCAATGGATTATTTTTTGCTAGATCTGCGATCTGCAAGTTTTAAAGGAAATCCGATGTAATATGCAGATGTGCTTTGAAATTGAATCAATGCGATTGTGGGTCCTACTGGTAAAATTATTGGGTCAAATCAGCCTAAGAATGTAGCGTTTTCTCAGTGAATTTTCTTTCAACTAACGTCTACGAAGATTTCAAGCTATCCGATGCATATCCTTAGGAAAAACGAATTTGAAATGAATTTCGTTATAGTTTATAGCTGAGTAAACATGTCAATCGGTTCTAGGACTATAACAAATAGTAGTAATGAATTGATTTCGCTGATTTAAACAATTTTTCTGTCATAAACTACGAGCTGAAGCGATTGTATGTACGTTTTCTTTTTTTCATTTAATGAATATCATAAGTCGAGCAATAATTTATGATATTTTTATTTTTTAATTACGAAATGATAGCCTATTGAATACGTGAATAGGGGATAATTTGATAATTCACAAATTAAATGATAAGTGCAAATACGATCTCTAATTTGCTCAATAAAAAAGGCCGATAACGACAATTTTCTCAACACTGTTATGTTAATTCGGTAGTGAAGGGTAAAATGTGGTGACGCCAATACGAATAACAGATTACTTAGTACATATATTTTATACAAGAAAATGGAGGAAATCGATTGGCGATACTTTTCCCTGTGGATGATTTAATGAGCTATTAAAGCATAACTCCATATATTTCTTTTCACCTCTAAAGTAATCTGTATGAACTGGCGCATCTTACTAATCCACTACCGATTAAGTTACTCATTAATTTTGGGTTTACGATTAGGAAATGT